GAATTTCTGACATTTTTTTTTCTTATACCGAAACTATCCTGTTCCTTCTGTGCCTCCCGATTCTTTATTCCAAAGAAAAATGAGGATTTGCCACATTATTTGTACATGCGTTTTTTCCCACGATATATCCGGAATCTACGGGATGTTCGCGACGATTCGTCCGTTCGTTTCCGAATTTAATTCTTCTCCAATACAGCTAAACGAGGATCCGCGCGATCCAGTGACGGAACACAATAGCGAGACGGGACAAAGGATCTCTCGAGGATAGACGGGATCTTTCTTCGTTCCCTTACTCGCAGGATCACGAAATTGTGATGGAAACTGTTTTCTTTCGATATAAATCTTCAACAAGGGTTCATGGGTATCTTGGATAATAACGGTTGTCGCAAGGAAGGAAATTTTCGCACACGCAGATTTTCATGATATATCCTGAGATAAAACGTTATGCGCTATAAAAGAGGAGGATAATACAAAATTTCTATGATAAAAATACAGAATAATCCACCTTACAAACTATGGATGATTAATTCTCAAAAAGTAATAAGAATTTTAATCATTTTGTATATAAAAAGATGAAATTTATTCACGTGTTTTAACATAAATTTTATATCTGAAACTAATGTAATAATAATCAATATATGTATATTATATATATTAAATATTAATATTAATTTATAATTTTTTTCAGTTACAGATTTCAACTAGGAAAGGTCAATATTTGCCACAAAATTCGGAGTCCATTAATATAATAGATTTCGATCAAATTTCGCATGATCTCACTAGACCAGGATGAAGATCTTTTCGAAAATATATAACATTATTGTTACGACGTCGTAAATATGAACGCATTGTGATTGATAGCAAAAGTCGGAAAATCGTACTTACTTTGTTACGAGTATTTGACCATTAAGTTGATCTGCTTATATTTTGTCTTTAGGATAACCAACAGAATGTGAAAGTTATGGATGCTACATTTTTATTTAATAAGAACAGTATGTTTATTTGTCTATAACAATAATATTTAATATTACATCATATCTCATTTTATTACTTATTTGCATTATATTTTAAAACTCCTGTAAGTTTTACAAAATTTTTCTATTTTTCTATATATGGATTCATCAATTTTATAAAGTATTACAAATTGGAGTACCGTTATCCATGCATACTTTTGACTGTACTAATCAATCGTTTTCTTAAGAACAATAGAGAGAAATATTTCAATTCTCTTTAGCTGTTGTTTTGCGCTTCCAGAGAAAAAATACTTATTTTTTGGCTATTTATATCACAACAAGTACAATTAATTTTAGTTATATATCATAAAGATAATTATATTTATATGAAATCGTTTACTGCGCGGAACTATAAAATTGAAGTAAATAGACATGCGTGACGTACTGTAGAATAGAAACAAAAATTCTTGTTGTACCAATATCATCAATCGTTACGCTATCTTATTATCGATACATTATTTTATTAAACTTTTACAATGAACGTGTTTAAGATTTGAAAGATAAAACATGACATTCTTATTTAAAGCCAATGTTTATAGAATATTTATTGCGTCGTGTGTTTATTATTGCACAATTTAACATGTTATATATATTTAAGATAATTCAGGGGCAACAGTACATAAGATATACTTATAAAAAGTGAGTCATATATTCAATGAGGGGATGATACAGAGAATTGTGTAATTTTATAGTTACGCATTATATAATTACATATATAATGTATATGAACTTTATTTTATATTGGTTATAGTGATTTCAAATATTTGCATCGAAAATTTATAGTGATTTCAATAATATATAGTGATTTCAAATATTTGCATTGAAAATTTTTTATATTAAAAATGATTCTCGGCGTTACAACAAACATGTAGGGAAACATGTAGGGTAATTGAGAATCAGGTCTATAAACGATGCGCAATTATATTTTCGACTTAATGATTCGTTTATTGATAAAAATTCCAAACGTTTCGACTCAAATTTAAGTCATTTTCAGTGGTACTATAAAGTAAAGATATAATTCTGTATCCAGGTTGATGAACTCAACCATAAAAATTAATGATGATATATCAGTTATGTCAGTTATGAATATTCTGAATGAAAATTGATTAATAATTAAATGAATAATTGATTAATAATAATTTTTAATGTGAGATAGTACATGTATCTGTCATCTTTCATGTTAATTAAAACGAAAGAGTAGTCATGAAATGGTTGTCACCCAAATGAACACAATTAACTATAAAAACGGAAAAAACCCAAGAGCACAGTATAATTCACGCTTTAAACTTTTTTAATCGTCTCTGATAAATATTACAAGAAAATATATACAAATATATAAATAATATATATTAATAATATATATAAATAGTATATAATTATATAATATTATATATCATGTTACAATACATTAATTTAAACAATATAGAAACAGTTTATATATATTATATATTCTATATAGTGTCTTGTATCATTTCCTCGTCTTTGACTTTGTTAAACTTTTGGTACACCCTGTAGGCAGACGCTTTGTAAATCGACTTGATACTGCGATACACAATCAAAAAAATTTGTACATAAGTGCCTTAATTAATCGTAGGCGATAAGTTATATTAATATTTATATTTTTTTTATACTCGAAATTTTTGACGAAATATTTAAAATATTAATATATAAGAGTTACTATTCACACATGAAATGTATTTTATATACATGAAATCTTTCTACCTGTTTGCGATATTATAATCTATTTATATAATGAAAATAGTCATCCGTTATTATATTGTTTACGATATTGGTAATAAAATAATTATTAAATATTTTTTAATGAACTTTTTGAAAAAATACTTGACAGCGTGCTAAAAGAATATGTATATTTACGTATCTATACCATATGAAATAAAACAGCGCGATCACAGCTTCAATTTCGATCAATTGTAATTAATTATTCTTCAAAAAATATTATTTTCATCCCCACCAGGAAGTACTATTTAATATTATTTAAAAAAGTACAATTGCCTAACAAGAACAACAAAATTGTTGCGAATATATATACATAATATATAACCTATGTGATTATTATAATATGCTTTTCGCAACTATACATTTTCAAGAACATAATGAGTTATAATGAATATATATCTAATTGTTGTAAATTTTACTTACAAGTGCGTTACAAAACTGAATCATTTTATTATTCAACTTAATATAAAGTATTATGGAAATACTGAAAGCATCAAGTATTTTAGGATTTACTGTAAATTACATGCGGATTAGATATTTCATTGCCATAAGCGTCACATTGACGTTCTTGTAGATATCAATGCTTTAATTAAGTTTTAAATAAGTATTCTATGATCTTGTATTTGATATATCTTTTTATGGAATATTTAAAATACATTTTATATTAATTATGTATATCATAGTTTTATTTTAATAATCTGTACTATTATAAATTAATTATAAATTATAAATTATAAATTAATTATAAAGTTAATTAAATATATTAAGAATTTTACAAAAACTTTCAAAATAAAAAAATTAAAAAAAATAAACTAAATTTTATATATAATCAATATTAAATATGATTTATTACATATATTTTATTCTTCCAAACATAATTTTGTATTGATTCAATTTTTAATATTTTGCGCCGCTATCTTTTTTCGATCAAATTAAAATTTGCATAAAAAATATATTTACATATAAATATATATAAATATATTTACATTATAATATATATTTATATTATAATTTAAATAATCTTTCTTTTATAACTTGCTCTGCTTCCCTTTTACAATATATTAATAAATCTCTTAAAAATATTTTGCCTCATTATATAAAACTTACAGTAATTTAAAATTTGAAAGATAATTATAATACACTAACATTTTCACATGTAATAAAAGAATCAGGATTCGTATTTTTCACTTCTATTTTGTATTTTTCATTTTTACTTCGCATTTTTTACTTCTGCATATTCAGTCTTCTAATGCCTTCTTCCACTATTTTATTATGTCGATAGGTCAATTTTCCGGTCATCTATTAGAATGCCTTCATTTATCGCTACGTCTGTATATTTCCATATTGACGAACATTAATCGTTTAACATTGTTACGTATGCATAATTGAATTTTACTCGTCATGCTTACATTGTAAAATCACAATAATATTATTTCATCTTGTGACAATATAACAATTAAATAAAAACACAATTAAATAAAAACATATTGTAAGAAACTATTTACTATTTTAATATTATAATTTAATAAATATTTAATTTATTAAATATTTTAATATATATATTATATATTATTTTAATAAATAAAAATATTTGTAAATTGAAATATACGTTAGGAGTTAAAATAACAGTTTAATATTAGATATGCAAATTAAAATTATAAAAACATACTTAAATTACTATAACCATAACATATTTCAAACAAGACATATATTTACATATATATATATATATATATATATATATAAATAAATTTAAAAAAAATGAGAGTTTGCTAAAAGTCTAAAAATCTAAAGTGCTAAAAGTCTAAAAAATAAATAATATAGAAATTAATATAAAACGTATATAATATATAAGACACATATCTTAAAAACAATAAATGACAGTACAAGATTAAATATGTGGTGACGTGAAAATTTTATCGGTAATAAATTTATATTAAATAAATTTTTATCCATTGATTCATCGTTTGAAAAGATTAATTAATATTACTAGTAAACAAATTAATTGTCTTTTTATTAGTATTAATTAGTATTAATTAGTATTAATTTAATTCAAATATTTTGTAATATTTATATAATTTAATATTTATATGTAACATAAATAAAGATGCAGTAATTATAATGCCAGTGAACTTAATAAATTCATAATCGAATGCATGACGCAATTTTCACATCCGGCACGTGGGATATAAATGAAATGAATAAACAATGCAATGGTGAGGTCAGCGTATAATTAAAACTGAATACATAAACTCTTGTGTGAACCAGACTTAGATTATAAAATATCAATCAGTGTTACGCACAGATTAGAAACGCATTTGCCATTAAAACGTGAAAACGCTTCTTTAATCGCCTAAGCCAACAAAATAGTTTTAACAAAGTATTGTTACATTAACTACGATTGAATTTTATACCTTTTAACGACGATATTGATTAGTGTATTATAAAAAAAAATAAATATATGTAACGTTATTACAACGTAATATATCTTTTTAAATCACAATGGATGTGATTCCAGTAACATCATCGTATTTTTCATTTATGATTTCTTCGCTGCTGGTTGTGTTTGCCACAGCACTAATTGCAGCGTATTATTACATCGAAACATCTCGAGCTGTTCGTCTGATAAAAAAGTTACCATGTATGTACAAGCTAATAATAAAAATATCTTCAACTTCTAATTTAAGAAACATGTTTTTTTCGATTATAATTTTTAACTATACAATTTTCTATTGTGTTGACTTGCAATAAATTTTTTATTTTTTCTTTTTTTAGCTCCACCACATGTACCTATTCTTGGTCATTCATTAATAACTTTAAAAGCGTCTCCCGAAGATATAATAGAAAAAGGTCTTGAATATTATGAGAAATATGGAACGGTAATAGGTGTATATTTGGGAACAAAAGCAGTTGTCTTTTTAATAGATCCACAAGATATCGAAATAATTTTAAGTAGCTCTGTGCATATCGATAAATCTCAGGATTATCAGTAAGAAATCAAATTAACAATTAATAAAATAATTAAAATATTACATTATATTATACTTTTATATCTATATTATATAACTGTAGACATATAAGTTTTATTTTAGACGCTCTTGTTATTTATTATTTTCCTATTCTGATCTTGTTTAAAAAATTCTCTTTATTCTCATCGTAGATTTTTTAAACCATGGCTTGGAGATGGTTTACTGATTACAACTGGCGATAAATGGCGTAGACATAGAAAAGTGATAGCTCCCACGTTTCATATGAATATTTTGAAAACGTTTGTGCCTCTATTTTATGAAAACAGCATAGACCTTGTGCAACGACTTCGCGATCAGATTGGAAAGGAATTCGATTGTCACGATTACTTATCAGCCGTAACGGTTGACATTTTGACAGAAACGGCGATGGGAGTTAGGAAGGGTGGAAAGAAAAAAACTGGATTTGACTATGCTATGGCTGTGATGAAGTATTTATTTTAAAATTATACTATCATTTTGTTATTAAATATTTAAGTATCATGAAAACATATTCATCATAATTTGAATTGATTGTAGAATGAGTGATATTTTGCACAGAAGACATTATGACGTATCGTTGCGGGCAGACATACTCTTCAGATTTTCTAAATTTGCCAAGCTTCAAGAGAAATTATTAAGTATTATTCATTCATTGACAAATAGTGTGATTAAAGAAAAAGCAAGAGATGTCGAAGAAAAACATGCAAAAAATCAGCAACAAAAAGAACCACAAAATGATAAATTAATGGAAAGTTCGGTCATGACAAAAAATACAGAAAGTGCTAAAAACAATACTGCTAATTATAAACTACACTATGTAAGAGATGATCTTGACGATATTGATGAGAATGATATAGGTGACAAAAAACGACTCGCCTTCTTAGAAATGATGTTAGAATTAAAAAAAGTTGGGCAAATGACTGATGAAGAAATTTGGGAGGAAGTGAACACTATCATGTTTGAGGTACGACAACTTTGTTTTAGAAATAAATTTAATTTTTTTTCAACTACTATAAAATACTTCGTGCATTATAAACTACTATTGTTATAATGAATTACATTATCAAAGAATTAATTATTGATTTATTACAGGGACATGATACCACGGCAGCTGGCTCGAGTTTTGCACTTTGTGCATTAGGAAGTCATCCAGATATTCAAGTACGTTTATTATCATTCTTTATGATTAAGCACCGATAGCTGATATTGTCATATTTATGTCGCAAGTAGACAATTATTCTATTAAAACTTCAAAGTAGATAGAAAAGCGATCAAATCTTTTCGATCCTCGGCATTTTTGACGAAAAATGTCTTTTTTGTTCCCGGAATAAATTTTTGAGGAAATTCTAAAAATTCATTTAAGGTCTTTTCATCCCACACAATCGCTTTTTCTTTTATAGCTTCTGTAAAATTAAATCCTGAAGTAGCTAGAAATAATTAAAGAATTATATATTAATTAAATGATTACCTCGTTTGACAATATTATATATTTATCAGAAATTTATTATATATAATTATATATTATTAAACAACTATTGATACGTTTAAAATCAAATTATTCTGAATTTTCTTTTGATTAAATTATTTTTTTAATTGAGTTATTATCTACAAAACAATTAAGGCATTTAATACACCTACTTCCACAAGTTTTGCCCATGATACCATGCAGGTTAGGACCTAGCTTATGTTTCCCATCTTTTTCCATAGTATGACATGAAGCACACATCTTCATAAATAATTTCTTACCATTGACCGCGTCACCCATCTAAGTAGATAATTTATTTGCCGTTAAATTAAATTTATTTAAATTAAATTAAAATACTAATTCAACAACATTGCATTTCGCGATATTCATTCTTTATCGTTTCTCTGCGAGAGAAGTCGATATACTTTTTGGTTTCGATAACGATTGTAACAACTTATCCTTTTCTTGGTCTTTTAAATTAATAATTTTCTCCTATAGGCTCGTGTGCATGAAGAATTGGACACAATTTTTGGTGATAGCGATAGACAATGTACTTTCCAAGATACCTTGGAAATGAAATATCTCGAGAGAGTTATTCTTGAAACTCTGAGACTTTTCCCACCAGTACCTCTAATTGCCAGGCAGCTTAATGAAGATGTGAAGATAGGTAAACATATATTCAATTAAACGCATTATTAATAATAACATTAGCTGTATCATGTGAATTACTTTAGAAATTTATTTATAAATTAAAAGAAAGAGATATAATTCTTTTTATATTACAGTTACAAACAATTATGTTCTTCCAAAATCAACGACAGTATTGGTTGTACAATTTTTGACGCATCGTATAGACAAATATTATCCAAATGCAACAGTTTTTTAATCCAGACAACTTCTTACCGGAAAAAATGCAGCAAAGACATTATTATGCTTACATTCCTTTCAGTGCTGGACCAAGGTATTTTTAATAATAATTTTTCTAATATCTAATATTTTTTCTGAACATTTAATATTTTTACTATTCCCCCCCCCCCTCTCTCTCTCTCTCTC